GACGTGGCCCGGCCTCCCCCAGCCCTCAGCTGCAGGGGAGTTTATCACAAGCAAGCCAACACCCACAGCACAGAGCACACCTTAGAGAGAACCCGGCGTCTTCTGTAGCAGAAAGCAAGCCCAGCAGTTGTGAGCTCCTTGCACGCTCACCCCTGCAAAAAAATATTCCAGTTCTCTGGCAAACCACGCAGACATTTAATATCAGAAAAAAGCTGGAGCACACAGACATCTGCCAGCCTGCGCTCTCTGATATTTTCAGTGACTACCAGAAGCGTCGCACGACTTGGGGAACAAACGCAATCAGCCGAGACTCAGTGCTGGACCCCGGGGGGTGTCACCTCCAGCAGATCCAGGAGGCGATGAGGACCCCCCCTTGGGACGGGAGAGCTGCGGGGCAGAGCCCAGGGCTGCCAGCTCCGGCGGGAAGGCACGGTTCCCAGTTCCTGGAGGGGTCACTGGCGAATTAGAGGGAAAAACTGGCACTGCAGCCTTCCAGGCACAACCCCCCCTCCAAGACAGCCTAGGCTGGAAAGCTGTTTCCCATAAAATCCCTGGTGAAGCCCAGCTGAAATCAAGGCCCGCACTTCAAACGCTGAACGAGCTCCAGCGTGGTGGGAGCACAGTGCCGCGTTGTGGGAATGCGTGCCTGGGCTAACAGGCAGTCGGGGCAGCGAGAGCCCGGCCGGGGGACCTGCCCGGAACGCCTCTGCGTTCCAGCTTCAGGGCTAAGGCTCACACGGCTTGAGCCCGCCAGCTGCCCGCGGCAGAGCTGCACCCTTCCCTTCCCTTCCCTTCCCACCAGGGTGGAACCCATCGCCCTCGGCGCCAACTCCTTCTTTTGACATCTTTGTACACACAGGAGGAGAAAGCTACAGCTACGTGTTGCTGCAATTTTATATCATCTGCTTTCAGAAAGCAATCACCCAGGTTAATCAAACTCTTCACACCCATTGCTTTAGCAGTTGTCAGCAGCCTGTTAGCGTAAACTTCCAGTACGGATTTCAAACACCAGGAACAGCCCTCGCTTTGGATTGCTACTGACCACGACCGTAGGTTTAGTATGCCAAAGGTTACTTTTGAGATGTGTTATTTCCAAAAGAGTATTACAAGATCTGAGTCATAAGAAGCTTGGAGAGACTTCACAAAACCAGCCCAAGACAGAACCTCCTTTCCCGTCCCTCCTAGTCGGAGACGCCGCGTCCCTCCCACCCGCAGGCGTACGAATTTCCCTTGCTTCCTCCCCGAGGAAATATTCTCCTGCAAGCTGCACTGGATGCAAGGGGCCACTGAGTTGCTTGCAAGTGAATAGCCAGGCTCTGATATTTTTTAGCTTTCCCGTTCTCCCGCACGCGTCGGCTGGCCCCGGGGGCCCTCGGGGACCCGCTCCCCGCTCAGAGCCGCTTGCTCTCTTGCTGCGGGTCGCGCACAGGAGGCTGCCGTCGTGCAGGGCGAAGGTCTTCCCGGCCAGCAGCGTCTCGCACTCCAGGCAGGCAAAGTGCTTCTTGTGCCAGGCCCTGCCTTCCGCCTGCTGGTAGTCCTCCGAGAAGATGATCTGTGGGATGGACAGACAGACAGTTACCGATTCCCACCATCCCGCCCAGCCGGAGCACAGCAGGACAGCCAGCCCCGCACCTCCCACCGAGCCCACCACCCG